CGCTAGAACCTTGGCCTGCTAAAACCCACACTAAGAAAATGGAGTCCCAGGCTGGAGAGATGGCTCAGTGGTTAAGAGTACTGGCTGCTCTTCCAAAGGACCAGGTTTGGTTCCCAGCACCCATGTAGTAGTTCACAACCACCTAACAGTTCCAAACTATCTCCTACATCCCAGCCTTCCCCAACCTGCTCTCCAACATAGCAGAAATTTTTCAACTCGCTTTAGCACCAATTCGATTAAGTTACTCTCTGGTTTAAAATCAGTGAAGACAGCTGGGTATAGGGGTACACATCTTTAATCACAGCATTCGGGGAGGCAGAGGCAGGCAGATCTCTGTGAGCTCAAGGGCAGCCTGGTCTACATAGTGAGTTTTAGGCCAGGCAGGGCTACATAGTGATAGCCTGTCTCAAAACAAAAACAAAAACGGAACAAAAATTAAAAAACAAAACAAAACAAAACAAACCTAAACATCTAAACAAACAACAACAACAACAAAACCTCCCAAACTGTAAAGCCTCCTCCTCCTCAGGGTATGGATAAAATTACTCAGCAGTCACTATATTATATCCACAATATTTTTATCTCACATTCAAAATTTGAAACTATCTACCTCAAAGCCCCAAGCTCAGGGGCTGCAGTGATGGCTCAGCCATTAAAAGTACTGGCTGCTTTTTGAAATGACCTGGGTTCGATTCCCTGCACCCACATGGTAGCTCACAACCATCCCTAACCCCAGTTCCAGGGGATCCAACAGACATACACATGGTGTACATACAGGCATGTAGGCAAAAATTTATAAAGTAAAAAATAAATAAACCTAAAAATATTTTAAAGGAAAGTTCTAAGCTTTCTCCTCCTTATAAACTCTTACCTATGCTTCCACACCTTCCTAAATTCCCTGGTTTATCTGCTTCGCTAGATCACCTTCGTTCCCAGTCTTAGCTGTCACCTGGCTAATTTATTCAAATCTCTTCTCTCCCATCCCCTCACTTCTAAACTTCTAAGTCTTGTATAGACAAGAATGACCTTGAATTCCCTCCTTTTTCTTTTTCTTTTTTCTTTTTTCTTTTTTCTTTTCTTTTTTAAAGATACTGCTTTCACTGTTAAGCCCAGACCTTTGTTAGCCTGGAACTCTCTATAAGATCGTGCTGGCCTTGAACTCACAGGTACCTAGCTCCTCCCCTTGGATTAAAGGGCTGGCTATCAAATCCTGCTGATCTTGAATTCCTGGTATCTCCCCGACCCCCCTCCGCTTCTCCAGTGCTTATAGAAATGAATCACCTCCCTCACTAAACCTCAGCCTCCCTAATCACCTCCCTCGCTAAACCTCAGCCTCCCATTCTCTCTGTGCTGGGAATTAAAGCCGGAGTGGCGGATGTGCTGTGACTGGTCACATCCTAGCCCAGGGCTAATTTCTACCCATTCTTTGTAACTCCTTTGGGCATTAGTATTTGTTGGATTATTTTCCTAAAAGTCTATCTACAGTGTGGATTTACTGTAGAGAGGGTATCTTGCTCTATGTGGATGCTCCAAACGCAAGAGCTCAGAGTTTTGTGTACCCAAAAGACACTGTGAAAGCTGGGAGTGATAGTGAACATGGGCAATCCCAGACATGGTGTATTTTGCCTTGTTTTTATTGCCTAAAATTCTTGAAGACTCATAAATGTAACTAGTTTTTTTTTGTCATTTATGATACATTCCTTATCTTTCACAAAGTTTACACCTGTATTTATGCTAATGAGATTAGATTAGTGAGGTAAGAAAGACCTTTTTTTTGGGGGGGGGGTTTGAGACAGGGTTTCTCTGTGTAGCTTTGCGCCTGTCCTGGAACTCACTCTGTAGCCCAGGCTGGCCTCGAACTCACAGAGATCTGCCTGCCTCTGCCTCCCAGGAGCTGGGATTAAAGGCATGCGCCACTACCCTCCCAGCAGGAAAGACCTTTGGATGAATTGCGGCAATAACCGGGAGATTACAGTTGAATTTGCAGAACTGCCCCCTGCTTTCCACTGGGACGGTCTAGAACAACTCAGGAACAAATAAATTCTGGGTTAGTACTGTATCTGCTTTCAAAGAGGTTGGTGGGCACCAACACAAACCTACCCTGCGTACCTCCCCATCCAACTCATCATCTTTGAAGGGACTGCAATCAACTGATAAGCCAAGACTTCTTTATAAATTCTTCGAGAATGGTGGCAAATTCTCAAAGGCAGGGATTAAACTCAAATGCTGGGATCAAGGGTGTGCACTAACAGACCAGCTGTGATTAGCTTTTTTTTTTTTTTTCTTCCTTGGTTTTTTGAGACAGGATTTCTCTGTGCAACAATCCTGGCTGTCCTAGAACTCTATCTGTAGACCAGGCTGGCCTCGAACTCACAGTGAACGGCGTATGCCTTAAATCCAAGCACTCAACCTGGAGGCAGAGCCAGGTGGATCTCTGTGAGTTCGAGACCAACCTGATCTCCAGAGCAAGATCCAGGACAGGCTCCAAAGCTACACAGAGAAACCCTGTCTCGAAAAACCAATCAACCAACCAACCAAACAAACAAACAAACCCAAATCTGGTATCTTGCAACAAGAACAATGAGTTAGTGCTATGTAGTATGACAGATGATTAAGAAAATGAATATAGAACGCACTGTTGAGCCCAGTGTAGGTTTAACAGGGCAGGTAGAGAAGACTTGTGGAGAATCAGTTAAAAAGTTCAGGTCCTCAAAGTTACCTAGTGTATAAAGAATCCTCCTTTTTCTTTTTCCTCCTCCTTCCTTTCCCTCTCTCTTTCCTTCCTTTTCATTGTTTTGTTTAAAAACTTTTTTCTTTTTTACAGTTATTATTGTCTGTGGTTGTAGAGATCAAAAGGTAACCCAGGGGACTTACTTCTCTCCGAGTTCCAGCGGTGGAACTCAGGTCCTCGGGCTCAGAGGCAAGTGCCTTTACCATCACCATCAGCCACCCTTGGTACTGTTTGAAGACAGAGTCTCACGTAGCCTCGATTGGCTTCCAACACTTGGAGTCAAAGATGACCAGGAACTCCTCATCCTCCAGCCTCTCCCTTCCTTGTTCTGGGATTCCTCTTTGTGCTAGGATTGCGATCTTGCACCTCCATACCCAGTGCAAATGAAGGACCTTGAAATTTTCTCCTGGAGGGAGCAATCCCTTTGTCTGGCAGGAAGGAGTCTTTACTTAGCAATTCTCTTCGAGGAGTCCTGGCTCAGGCTCCCCTACTTTGCAGCGTCCTTTCTCAGACTTGAGCAGATGTCGGAATTCCCCAAGGGCATGATAAATACAGATCTTGCCAGACAAACACAAGACGATCAATTAAATGTGAATTTCAGGTAAACAAGTAATGGGGGCGGAGCATGTCTCAAGTAGTGCAATATTTGAGAAATCATCTTTATCTGAGACCAAATGTACCTTCCTGCCACGCATCAGTAAACACTTTCAGATTAGTGGTTTCCCTCTCCCTTGAGGCAGGTACTTCTGATGATTATCTATTTTGTCTTTTTAGGAAATTTCAAAAATACATAATCTTATTAGAGGGTTTTTTCTCCATTACTAATTCTCCTATTAGCCTCACAGACAGAAAAACCTCAGGAGAAATATTATAATCGTTCATATGTTCTGCTCTTTTGTTTCTCTTTAATTTTTAAGCCTGCCTCTCTGAGTTCCTTTTTGAATCCTCAGCTAGTGAGCACCACCATATGGACAGAAGTGGTAGCTCTCTTCTTCCAGACCTGAAGATTTCACTTTTTGTCTATGTGTGAACATAGACATATGTGTGAACATATACCCCATGTGTACACTTTTTATCCAGGTGTGTTTGTGTGAACAGATACCCCATGTGTACAGTTGTGAGCTCACCAACATGGTGCTGGGGACTGAACTCAGGTTCTCTGCGAGAGCAGGAAGTGCTCTTAACCCCAACCATCTCCAGCCCACCCCTTCCACGGTGCTGGAAGTGGAACTCAGGGCCTGGCACGTGAGGCCAATGGTCTATCACTATGCAACAGCTCTGCCCCGCTCCTTGGAGACAGGGTCTTAGGTTGGCTGGCCTGGCCTGGCCCTTGCTCTAAGGCTGAGGAGGACCTTGAATTTCCGATTCTCTTGCCTCTATCTTTTACAGATAGGCATCAGCATCAGAGCTAGTGGTACAGTGCCTGGAACTGCACTCAGGGCCTCCTGAATGCTAAATAACCATTCTACTGGATGAACGACACCCTCCTCCTTTTTGTATTTTTTTAAATTTTGAGATGGCAGTTTTACTAACTTGGCCTTGACCTCACTCTGTAACTCAGACACCTTGAATGTGTTGGTGCTTTTGCCTCAGCCTCCTGAGTAGCTGGGATTACAAGCCTTCACCAGGCTGGTCTCCAGACCCAACTGCTTTTCTGGTTTTATCTGTAATCTCAATACAGTGAACTTTCTATCAGGGCCCTCTCTCCCTCTCTGCTTTTATCTTACAGATTGCATTTTTTTTTCTTTTGTTTTGTCCCCCAAGTGCTCTTTAATAAAAAAGAATTAAAAGCTGAAGAAATAAGCCCGAGCAGATTCTATTCTAGATTGAATTCCTGGTCCAGGCAAAAGGAACTTCAAGAAACTTGCCTTGCTTGAGGATTTGTCGGGAGATTGATGGATGGCAGGCAGTTAGAACTTGGGCCGACTGCAGGAAGGAAAGCAGAGCCCAGCCAGGCAGCAGGAGGGGAGGGGGTGTCTGGAAGAAAGAGCCAGTCAGGACGGCTCAGGAAGGGGTGGAGAATGCCTCGCCTGTGTATGCAGCCGGCAAAGACCTTTCTGCAGACATTGTGCCTTTGTGAGCTAACTGCAGAGGTCTTGTGTAGGCAACATGTATTCGAATGTATGCGTTGTTTCTTTCTGATCATGGGTCTGTGCGAACTGCTGACCGCAAGAAACAGCAATGGATTGTTGAAAAGATTTTGCAGTCCGAGGGCTTGTTTGTGGTTCTGTGGTATGTGTGGCTGGCTTTAGGCCAAATGCGCTGTTTCTGGTTCCAGCTCTCTCTGAAAGTTTAGTGGATGGCTAACAGATTAAGCCAAGACACAAAGTCAGAATTTAGAAGAAAATACAGGGGCGGTGTGAGGTGGGATCAGAAGTAGAGAAAGAAGGAAGGAAATGTAGAGAAAGGGAATGAGAAGCAGAAGATAAATAACAAGTTCTTTCCTTAGGATGGAGAAACATTTCTGAGTGGGAGGGTAATGAAAAGCACTACACACCGGACAGGGTGACCGACAACCCCAGTTTCCTGGTCCTGGGGGAGGGGTCCTCAGCTCCCTCACTTCTGGGCATGCTTTATCTTGAAATGTGAGTGTTATGTGTATATTTTGGTATACCAGGGTGTTTAAAATCTCCCCCCCTCCCCCCCCCCATTTGAGGACTGAACCCAGGGCCTTGCACTTGCTAGGCAAGTGCTCTACCACTGAGCTAAATCCCCAACCCCATGTTTAAAATCTTTTTTTTTGTTGTTTTTGTTTTTGTTTTTCGAGACAGGGTTTCTCTGTGGAGCTTTGCACTTTTCCTGGATCTCTCTCTGTAGACCAGGCTGGCCTCGAACTCACAAAGATCTGAATTCACAAAGATCTGCCTGCCTCTGCCTCCCAAGTGCTGGGATTAAAGGCGTGCGCCACCACCGCCCGGCTCCATGTTTAAAATCTTAACAATTATTCTGAGAGGAGTGTGAACAGTTTTTCGGGGATTCCAGATTGTGTTGCTGGTGGTGGGTGGTATAGGAGGGTAATGAGTTGTTGGTTCTGATCTGGGATTGGTGGAAGAGGATTAGAGAATTGCTTTGGTGATAATGTCTGAGGTGCATGGCTAACTTCAAAAGCAGGAGATACTGAAATGCCTCCACATTCCAAGAACTGACATTATGGCTAATATGTTGAAATTTAACAGGGGCACCCACACCTGGAAGGAGATGTTTAAGGAGGTCTAACACCGGACAGATAACCACAGGACGTGAATTTTTGCATGGGTGAGGGTGGAAGAGAGAAGTAGTGTGTTTTTCAGACAAGGTTTCACTGTGTAGCCTTGGCTGCTCTGGAACTGGATCCGTAGACCAACCTAGCCTCAAACTCACAGATCCACCTGCCTCGCCATCTCAAGTGCTAGAGATAAAGGGGAGCGCCATCGTGCCCAGCTAGCTCCTTTTTTTTTTGAGACAGGATTTTTCTATGCAGCCCTGGCTGCCCTGGAACTCACTTTGTAGCTCAGGCTGGCCTGGAACTCACAGAGATCCACCTGGCTTTGCCTCCCGAGTGCTGGGATTAAAGGCGTGCACCACCACCGCCCGGCCTGGCTTATATTCTTAATTACAAATTCCAAAAGTGTCTTTCTTTTCCAGCACTTTGTTCCCGCCAGTTAAAGCTAGGACACTGGAAACCCCTACAGTGACACACTCAAGATGACTTGCTCTGTCCCTTAGTCCGCCTGCCTCCTCTTTCCTTCAGCTGTCATTTCCTACGCTGTTCCCTTCTGGTCTCCTGCTGTCTGGGCCATCTGATTGATTCCTCTGTTGGTTTTTTTTTTTTTCCTTCCTCTTTTCTAACCAAAGCTCAACTTTGGCAGGCCTGTCTTTCCCCCATCCCTCTCATGGTATCTTTGTCTTCAGCAGACTGGACTCAGAGGTAGGGAACAGGAAGGCCAGAGGGGGACTTCTGCTTCAACCATCTCCCCCACCAGCCGACAAAGGCTGTCTGAAAGGGGTCCCGCACAGCCTCTCTCTCTGTCACACAGTCTGGTGTGCAGAGTGTCTCCACTTCCCCACCTTAAATCCCACCCCTCCCCCACCCACCTCGTGACATCATTCTCCGCCAGCTGTGACTGTCAGGGACACTGACCTACTTTCCGTCTGTCTGTTAGACACCAGATCCTGGTTTTTCTACTCAGCTGGGTTTTCTGCTGACCCCCTTCTGTTCCCCACATGTCAGTGGGCCCCCTGACACCTTGAAATAGTTTATGGTCTCAGAAAATAGTTTTACTTTGCATATCAGAAGAGCAAAAGCCATAATGATAAACAAAAGCTTCTATGACTTTAGCAAATCCACTTATGACTTAAACGGATTTATTTATCATCCATCAAAACAGAGTCTATACAGAGCTGAAGAATCATGCACCTATTAATTGTTGTTGTTGTTGTTGAATCTTTATAGGTGATGCTTGGCTAATGGATTCTTAGATCTTGTGGCAAATCTGAACATACACCACCGTTTTTCATATATTTTTAAATTAAAGAATAGGCCTAAACAGTACGCACAGAAGAGACAAAGTTAAGAAGTGAGAAAACCCTGAGACATGAAGTCTACAGTCTTTCAATGGATGGTAAGGAGAACTGGAATACTCTACAACAAAACTCGGCTCTGCCTGCCACTTACTGCTGTGTGACTTTGGACAAGATACTTAACATCTCTGTGTCTTGGCTTCTTTATTTGCAAAAAGAAGGTACTTAAACTCAGCAGAGTTGTTGGGAGACCTAAAAGGCTTAATGTATATGAAAGATTCTTAGAAATGACCAGGGACAGGGATAACTATGCATTCCAAGTATTTCTCTGGTTCTTTTGGTATGCTCTGAGGGAGCCCTTCAAGTGGAGTTACAGATCATTTTAGCCACTATGTGGGTGCTGGAAATTGGACCCTGTTTTTCTGGAAGAACAACCAGTGCTCTTAAACTCGGAGCCTGGGACTCCCTAGAGGCTCTTGCCTGGGTTTCCTGAGTCCTGAGATCACAGGCATGCGACACCTCACCGGCTAATGCTATTTAGTTTTACTACAGTTATGAGTATTTTCCTTTTTTTGAGATAGGGTATCACGAAGTTTAGGCTAGCCTCCATTTGATAGGCAGCCGAGCAGGACCTTGAACTCTCTCCAAGCCCTGTTTTTCTCACTTTTCCTTCTTCCTTGCTATCTCGTCTGGCTTTGCATTTGCCTGTTTAGGATAAAACTCAAACTGAAAGAGAAAAGGGGGTGTCCAGGGGTTCTGGAGTTGATGGAAGAACAGAGGTGACAAATAAATAGCTCAGGGGTGATTTGAAGCCCAGCAAGTAGAAATGATTTAAAAACAAAATGAAGGGACCGAGCAGTAGTGAGAAGCTGGACACAGCTTCAGTCCTAGTACCTGGGAGGTAGAGGCACTCAGATCTAC